CCCCCTCCCCATTAGTTTACTGGAAATGAAAGCAATCTGGCAACTGTTCTTCAAAGGCCCTCCTGGTGCAAGGTGGCAGCCATCATGCTGTCACCTTGCTCTGTAGTGACCCCCTATGGCCAGTGAACAAGAGGGATACATTAGTTTCAAAAGGGGTTTTTTGCCTCTCCTGGGCTTACGACCCCAGTAACAATTCTTAGAGAGATCAGCCTCTTAAAAAGAGGGAGGGAATCCTGGAGGGATCTTTGCCAAAGAGCACGACTCACCAGAGGTGGAATATCTGCTTTGGGGCCACTAAAACAGTATCAAGAAAGGGAAGGAAATGAATATATCCACTTGCAAATCCATTTGTGTACATTTGAACGGACAGAAACTAATACAAGTGAAGCAGAGACAGAATGTCTGTGATAGAAATAAAACCACTTTACTGTTTAGAATAAAAGGACACTATAAAAAGTGAACATTATGCAACATTACCTTAAAAGACAATATACATTCACTGAATATAAAATTTATAAATAACATGGAGGAAAACTGTAAACAGTGCTAGAAAATTTAGCAACAAATACATTCCTTCTGGACAAGATTTTTCACACGGGTTCGGTTCCCTCCCCAAGTTTCCATGACTATCAGGAACAGCGGAGTGGCTCTGTGAAGGAAGGACAGCGTCAGAGAGAATGAGAAGCCAGTGCAGGCAAAGCAGCAGCAAATGTTTAGTGGATTTTTAAGGTTTTCTTAAGACTGGTAGCCCCCAAAGACACTCATTCCAAAAAAAGACAAAAAATGTTTGCAGTTCCCTAAGTTCTGTTCTGCCCTTCTGCGGTGTAAAATACATGACAAGTGAGATGGACTTTCAGAGGCATCTGAAAGAATGGAAACTCGTTCCCATGGAGGCTTTTGCTTCAAACAGTCTTTGCTTTAAAAAACACAACAGCATGTTTCCCATCACCCTGAGGTAGCATTTTGCTCCGGCCAAGTATGAAGGGGATACGGTGATATGTTTAGGTTTTAGAACAGTCCTACACAAACTCTTCAAAACATGGGAAATTTAGATCTAAAATGGCAGTTTTGTCCCATATAGGAGAGGGGGACGCCTCCCACAAGAGGACTTTATTCAAGGTACTCCACACACAGATCTCCACCTGCTCTCTATCCTCTCCAAGGAAAATCAAATCCAATCTTTCCCAAACTTTCAATATATTTTTCGTATTTTTTTTTAATTCTAAAGGGGAAAACACTCTCAAAGCAAATAAGGAAAAATATCTATAAATAAGAAAGCGATCAGCAATGGTCTAGAAATGAGCTAGGCATTTTTAAAAGTACTTTTAATTAAAGTACATTTAATAATGTTGGTATATCTAAAACATAGGGTCTAAGGGGAGAAGCCCTCATCCTGTACACGTCCAAAGTCTGTGCTCACATGAGCTGTGCCACTGACAGCTCCTCTGACCTTCAGTTATGGGGTGAAGTGAGGAGCACGTCAGAGGTGGCAGGAAGGTATTTGTGCTGCTGCAAGCCACTGTATGCTCCATAGCCTAACATTTTGGGGCGAACTTCACACCTGCCTCCTCACATCTCCATGGTGTTCCTACATATTGCATGGCCTGCCGTAAAGAGGGAGAGAGTTTTGTCCCTTGGCAGGCAGAAATGAGTTTGCAGGACAGAAGAAAGGAGAGCAGATAGAGAGGAAGAAGTCTTTGAGTCTGATTTAGAGCCTGTTCAATCCATTTAATGGCTCCCTCCAGCTTCAAGGGAGCCTTCAGTCAGGTTCTTAAAGCAAGCACAAGCTAAAGCTTAGCCCAAGAAATACACGTTCCTGATAGCATGCACAGAAATAAAATTAAGAAGCCTCCCAAAAGAAATGTATTTTTACTGGATTCTTCCCCCTCCTTTTGGCTCCACATTTTTAAAAGCCTTAACAACTGTTTCTTTACACAGCAAGGGGAAAGATTTGCTACCAAACCCCCACCCCTGCCGGTCTAGCTGTCTGCATCTCAGAAAAATATTTTACCATCTGCAATATAAAATGGGAATACGCTTCATTTTCTGGTAATGCATCTGCTGTTTTGTTGTTTACAAAGCACATAGCTACATTATATCCTACTTAGGGACACAAGTCCTCATAGCATTAGAATGCAAATATTTTCACAATAATTTGAGTGCAATACTGTGATGTCTCAGCTAGCTACATGAATCAGTGACAGGTAAAAGATGCAGAGCTGCAGTTTAATGGAAATTCAAATCAACACTTCACTGCATCGAGGGGCATTTTCATTTTGCCTTCCAAAGCCGTGAAAAGTGGCTGCAGCTCCAAGAGACGTCAGCTTTGCGAAGTTGCCTGGAGCATGAGGAGGGCCATCTCCAGCGATGCCAATGCCATACGATGCAAACAGTGAGGGTGGCGAGGCCGGCTCCACTCTGCCCTCAGTGACCCTCAGAGATTTTGTCAGCCATGCACAGCTCAAACAGAGATTGCTCCACTGTGCCCAAAGCCCAACCCCGTACTCTGCCAAAAGGGGCAACATTCTGACCCACCACCTGATGCTATGATGGGTGCTGTGAAGCACCCTACTCTCCCTCTCATCTCCAACCCATAATTTAGGAGTAGTCACAGGGAAGAGGACTGCTGAAAAGTGTTCCAAGCCTGAATCACAGGAAAGCCCAACAGACTTTCAGTGTGATTCATGCTGCGTTGCCACTCAGAGCAGCTGAAAAAAAAAATCCACAGCAGACCTGGGCACCTCTTACAGCTCACGCTAAACATGAAGCTACGTGCTTTTTGCTGCAACAATTCATCTATGGGGTGTTTCAGGGGATGTACATCTGGCAGAGCTCTGGGAGCATGCAAGGAACGTAAAAACGTATCAGGGCCCATCTCAGACACCTTTTCCTTTCCATTTGGCAAAGAGGCCCCAAACAACCCTCTAGTAGTTGAGGTCACTGACTGTAAAATGCTGTATTGCCCCAGGCGGGAATCACTGCAACACTTTTTCCTGCTGGTGGCAGCTCTGCTTTCTAAGTGGAATGAACTGAAGATATATGGAAACTTAAGATAAATAATCATAATAATACAAAAATGAAGTTAAGCGTAATCTTTTCCCTGCCCAAGCCCTCCCCATCCAAAACTCAGTCACCCATTTTGTCAGCACCCCTTCTTCACCATCATTAAAACTTAAAATACTTTTATTTGATAAGAAAAATTATATTATAGTTTTCTTAATAAAAAACAATAGAACGAAAAAACTTCTCCAGTCGACAGCAAAGCACAAGACAGTAAGGCTCCTCCTCCCACATCACTGCAGGATACGGTATGAGCACATGCACAGAGCTATGCTTAACAGTGCCTAGAGGGAAACACAGCACTTGACACAGAAGGAATCCTCTGGGCAGCTGAAATTTTATGATCCCAGCCAGTGCTTACTAGGAGACCACTCTTCCTTGCCTAGCCCCCACCCCCACCCCGCCCCCCCACTTCCTATCACTATATAAACAAGTGCAGCTAGTGTAGCTGCAGGGGAGGAATCGTGGTGCAAGGAGGTACAGAGGAAACAATGACTGTAGCCGCTACTGCAGACACACTGGAGCTTCAATATCTTAAAAACAACTCACTGACTCGGAATGTCAATATTTCTGTCTTTAAAACACAATCAAACCATTCTTTTGTTTATAACACCAAGAAAAACCCCACGTCCTGTCAAAAATAGCTTATGTCATTATGTGTATATACATCTTAGTTCAGAAAAACACTATTTTGGCAATAGATTTTTTTTTTTTTTATAGTAAGAGCTCTAGCAAGTCTCCCCTTTCCCTCTTCCATGTGATTGATTTACAGTTGGTATTTTTGCATCTGTTTGGTTTAAGGTGTTCACAAGCTGTTTTGCTGGTGAAGCTAAGCTGCAAAAATTTCAGGGGCCAATGCTGCTCAAAACAGGATGGCACAGCACTTCATCTGCTCTGCTGTAGGTGGATTTACCTCCCTGAACATAGGGGATGGGGCTTTTGTTTTTTAAACAACAACAAAAACACAAAATACTCTCTGTTTTGTTCTGGGGAAAGCCAGAACCTCAAATATGCTGTTGCATTCACACTGTGACTGAATTAGCTAGGACAATCAGTCAACAATGCTTTTACCAGATGATGTGGTCAGACACACCAGGTGAATACTCCCACTGGTGGAGTCAATCACATTGCCAATCTCTCCCGAAGAGGAGGATTTCTTTTGGACGTAATTTTTTCCAGAGTTTAGGCTGGGTTTCTTTTCAGTTTGTTTCATTTGCCAATCTCATTAATGAAACCTGTTTTCCTTCAAATAGATTTGTCTACGTATGTTCAGCACTTAGTGCAAGAGGAGGGGTGACGAGAAGCCAGCGCATAGAAGAATACAGTGCCTAATTGGCATAGTTTTTAGTTTTTTGTTCTCCTAAAAAAACAGAGATTGTATTGCTACAGCTAATGATACGTGTAAGAGAGCAAGAGCTCCATCTTTTTTCCTTTTTTTTTTCTTTTTTTTTTCCCTCCCATTTTTCCCTCTGGTGTGCAAAAGTAAGCTCCCAAATGTCATCTGATCAAAATAAGTGGTATCAAAAAATGGAAAAGGTGATTACAATTTCAGTAAGGTAGCACAGACTTTTTTTCTTTTCTTTCCTTTTTTTTTCCTTTTCTTTTTTAAGTGTTCGAAGTGCTAAAATTTGCATGAAAACAGGCACTAATTTCATTGTCATCATCATGATCTGGTAAAGAGTTAGTGTCCAAAGGAAGATCAGCCACAAGTAAGGGAGAGGGGAGATAAGGAAGGGATAGCGTGCTCAGGGATCTGTGGCATTGATTATTGTTTTGTCTGGAGGCGCCCATCCTCTATACCAGCTGCAGTAACCTTCCGCCCTCTGGATGCAGGCATAGTGCTTCGCTTGGTATCCTGAGTGGCCAAAGTTGGAGAGCATGTCCATCCAAATACACTCATTCTTGGAGGTGGCAAAGCAGGGCAAATAGTAGCAGGGCCTAATCTGCAATTGTAAAGAGCAATCAGGTAAGCTACATGGAAAAACATTATATAATATACCTTTTTACCAGAGACAAGGGATTCAAAATTCCACTCCGTCAAGCCTTGCTTACTAACCCAAAACTCAGCCTCAGTTAAGTAAGCACGAAAGCATATGTTTAGCTTCACCTACACAGGTAATTCCAGAGTCAAATAGGCTTTGCAGGTGCAGAAAAGTTGAGCTTGTGTCTATGTTTTTTGCAGGCCTGGGCCCATAAGCAAAAATCTTAGTGCTAGCACCAGGCTGTGAGGTTTTAAGCACTCAAAATCTTTACACAGGAAAAAAGCTGGACATATCTTTCCAAGCCTCTGGTACCTGATTTCATTCACCTGCAGATGATTCTGTGTGGATTCTGAAAGTCTTCCCCAACCCCAATTAACTCCAACAGGGCATTAAAAGGGTATAGACTCTGTATCTTTATTTGATTGTCTCTTCTCTGGTCTCAATACTAAAGCTGAGCTCTACTTTTTCCCTGTAAAAATTATTGTCCTCCATTTCTCCTCCTGGCTGTTCCCCAGCATCATTGGTATTACCAGCCAAGGGAAACAGAAATCTAGGATTTGAATGTCTTAATGCCACCTAATTAGAGGCACACATACCTTGCATCCACAGCCCAGATGATAACGATGATTCAGTCCTTTACGCTGGGACAGAGTCAGCCGGTCCCATTTCTCATACCAATTGCAAAGGCCAGTGTACACCTTCCCTTCATACACGCGGCCTTGAAAACAGAGACATGGTCACAAGTTAGCACTTCTCAGCTCAAGCACTTTTCTCGTTTCCTGAGATTGCTAATGCTCTCAATATGTTTGGCTTCAGTCACTGCTCAGCAACTGCTTTCTTTTTATTAACTGGTTCGGGAATCTCTGGCCAGCAAGATTAGAGCACTTCTGTAAGTTCAGAGTGTTGTGCCAGCTATAAGCACCAGCAACAACACGCAGGTGAGTAATGCTGTCAAGCTCCTCTCAACAGCAGAGCAAAACGAAGCGAATTGACACCATCACTAGAAACAAGACCTGGCAACTGCCACATCTCTATCTCCTTGCACCCCCCCACTCAGCAGCCTACATTTCTTCAGCTCATTCTGAAAGGGATCTTTTACTTGTGGCACAGCTGAGTAGCAACCAGTTCCCTGTGACAGACATGCGAGCTCAGGTATGAATTGACAGCTATGGACTGTCATACAGCATATTTGTCAAAACAGGGATGCTTTAAGAAAGAGAGGAAAATCTAGAGAGTGAAATGACCCCCAGCATTAAATACTGAACACCAAAATACTGTTGGCCATCTTAACTGTCCACACAGCTGTCCACACAGCTGCCCATGTCCTTAGCAGGTGTATGTATGGAACAGAAGAGGTTTTGATTACGAAATACACTGTCCTTTACCTGTAATCAGATATTGGTACTTGTTGACCTCCAGCTTGACTCCACAAAGACTCTCAGACGCTTCTGTGTAGATGTACTGAACGTGTGGCATTATCTGGAAGCCCCTGTACATCTAGAGAAACAAATAAAAATCCTTTAAGTCATCTTAAGATGACGACTTTTCACTTAGATTCTTTACCATCTATGTTCCTAGACTGTGGTGGCAAACAGTGAACTTCTAGTCTTTACAAGGGTGAAGGACTAATGGCACCAGCTGGACTCTGATGCAAGTCTCCCCATCAGAGCTGCTGGTAGAGAATACCCACCTGTTAACGAGCCATTGCAATTCAGCACAGGGACCACTTTTCCCCACTCTCGTTAGTTCCAGTGGCAGTGAGTGAGCAAAGCGCCAACATTGGAAGCTCTGCCAACATCCTGAACAATTTTTTTTCTTTATATAGCTCATAATTAGGGAGAAATTAAATTACTTCAAGTTTCAGTCTTTCTCCTTCATGTGATTTAAACATTTTCTTCTGAACTAGGGGATTTTTCTTTTAAACAATGACCTTATTTTCCAGTGTTGCTGCTGTAAGAGTTTCAAACCTTTGGCGCTTGATCTAAGTCATCAAGCCAGCCACCTCCTTCTCAAACGCCTAGCATACGCAACTCCTGCTGACCTCAGCAAGGATTTAATGTTTCTCTAACTAAATGAATGCAGAAATAGAATTCTACCCCATCTCCTAAATTAGCCTGGTACTGATGAGCACCATAAAGAAAATATCATGTACACATAATTCCTCTATGCTCCTTCTTCTTTTTCATAATCTTTCTTAAGTGGAAGCCAACATACAGTTCAGTTTAATTGAAATACGAACCCACAGATATACTGGCAGTTGGATTCAGTCAGAAACTAGCATGTGTCCCTGTCTGACCTGACCTTACCACTGCAATTTAGGGAAACTCATGCACGCCTGTTAGTAGCATAATGAAGTCTGTGCATAGCAACGAAACAACCATTGCATTTGTACGTTGGACCCAATAAAACATATCCTAATTCTGAAACATTGAGGATGATTGTCCTCCAAATTTAATCTTTAAAATTTGGTTATCTTTTCAAAGTATTCAGTCCCTCTTTCTCCCCCACCGACTGTATGAATGGCCAGTGTTTAAAGGAAAGCAATAGGAGTCAGAGAGAATCACAGTTTCAAAGCATTTCCCAGCCTATCCTTTTCTCTGTCAGCTTTATTGATAGAGAGCACATTGACGCTCAGTTTAACTGTAAATATTAAACTGAGGCAAAAGAGGAAAAAAATACCCTAAAAAATCCCAAAGATATAGATCCTTGCTGCTGTGTCATCTGAGTGGTGGCATTCTCCTCCATGCTCTGTTTTATTTCTTGAAGTCCCCTATTATCCCAGGGTATGCGTCCCCATTTGTTCACCTTTCGCTATCCCCCCCGCTCCTTTAAAAACAACAAACCTTCTTCTACAGAATTAATCTGTGCTATTCTCTCTAGTGCTAGGGGCCTGATTCATACCTCTGCGAAGTCAGTGAAAGGATGTCTGTTGATTTAACGGATTTTATACTAGGCCCAGGTATTGCATACAAAACCCCCAAAACTACCAGTAATTCTGGTACGCTAAGAGGTCAAACTATCTTCTGGGCATCCATGGAATGTCTGCCAGGTTTTCTTTCTCCTTATATTACCCCAATCAGTACAATAAAAGTATCATAACTCAGTAAGAGCACTGCTGTGTACAGTAAAAGACACGCTAAAGGGTTTGCATTTTCCAGCCTTCCTTCCACACCCAGCAAATATGCAAGGAAAGCATTTTTTTAAATTAATCACACTGTATCAACAAAAGCTCACAGATCATGTTTGGAATACACCATTGTGTCCATAAGTGAGCAAAGTCTTTCAATGAATATGGAAGAACTGAACCTTGCCTAATCTCTACTTTATCCCTTCAATTTTCTCGGTATGGGATGATCTACTCAGATTTTCCACTTGTGCTCAAGATAGTTGGGAGATCTAGCTTCTGGCACAAGCATCCTGTTTGTCCTTGGATGAGTTATTTAGCCCTCAATACACTTTTGGTCCTCCTCTGGAGAACAGCTCTGCCTTGCTTCAGAAGGGTACTGTGAGGAAAGGCACACAGAATAAAAATCATGTGTTCAGACCCCATGCTAGTGGGCGTCACACCAGGAAGCTATGATAACAGTATCTAAGCAGATAAGACTAGCTAAGATAACAGCTGGGGCTGCCCAGTCTCTCCAGGCAGTGCATTATCTACCCCGCAGAGAGCTGTATGCTGTGCATGTGCAGTACAAGTGATCTGTCAGTCAGTGCTACGCTCCAAGTAGCGTTGGGCTAATTAAATACCTCTGCTATAAAGTCCCCATGTGCATCGGCACACTTCGAGCCCATCTTCCCCCTTGCAGAAAGGGCTACAAGCCAGACTAATCATTCCTCTGAGAAGGTGCTCAGATCCTTCATACAGGACCCTTTATATTTGTCACTCCTCGTATCTTCTGCACCATCAAGCTCAACATGACTGCCTATGAAGTAACTAGTAATGCTGAACTGGGGTTTGTTTTTTGACTCCTGGACCCAATTTCTTGTTCATATTACCATCAAGAACAGCACTATCAGGGTTGCTGAAGGAAGCTCAGAAAGCACTTCATCTCACCCCTCAGTGACCCTCATCAATGCTAGCAACTGTCACGCTAATTGACCCAGCAATGGGGGCAGACAGGGCCTGCCTCATCCTCTGATGACTAAAGAAAATTCACCATGACCTTGGTTCTTAGGGGAGGAAAAAGAAAATTTGGCAAGGGGGAATCTTCTATAGATGCCCTCTTTCAAAACAAATAAAACAATACCTTAAGCATTATTTATCCTGGAAGCGCTATTAGACCAGTCAGAAGAAAACCAACCATAAAGCTAGCCTCTCTCCTAACTGCTACCCTCGGAGTCCTCCTGTCGCCACAAATGTGTATTTTCGGAAGCATAATGACAGGGAACAAAGTATTAGCAAGCGTCACATGGTGGTGCCTGCTAGTGCTGCTCTATTTCCAGCTGTGTCAGCATTCCCCTTAGCAGCCCCCATACTGCCTCAGAAATGCATGTGCAAAATCCTGTGGTGGTTCCCACTGCATGATTAACTTCACCCTGTAACACAACGTTCCTCCCTCTATCCCTGCCACGTGAGGTCGCACTAGATATCAAGGCTTGGAGTCATCTTGCCTAACCTTCAGCTACCTAAAATTTCGGCACTTCATATGAATTAGGCATCATCTCTAGGCAAACACCAAGAATGGGCACCTCCAGGACAACTCAGCCCATCCTAAAACAGATGTCTACGACCAGTGGGCTGAATTACACTTTGGTGGTTCCTGTCTCTCTCCATTGACAATCAAGAGGGCAGGAAAGACTCAACACCTCATTTTAGTCCGTCTAAAATTAAACTAAATTAATCTCACCCCACTTCTTTCCTCTTGGGACTATCAGGTTTCACCCCTTAGACTCCTTTTACAGATTAGCAACAAACCAAGGAAAGCCTCCTTCCTTCTGGCAGCCTGTGCAGACTGCTGCCATGGTCAACCAGGACTGTTTGTATACACGGAGCAGAAATATCTTATCTCCTTGTTTCATTTGCAGTTTCCTGAAATAGGTTTGGGGCATTCTCAGAATGCACTACAGCATCACAGAACATGCAAGGGTTAGATCAGTCCTGTGTGGATTTCTGACACAGGATCTTGAAATACTCTTCAATCATTTGAGTAAGCAGTGGGGGAAGGCAGAGGGTGCTTGAAAAAGCACAAGGCCTTTTCAGACAACAAACCTGAGCCCTAGAAAGCCTGGCACTGTTCTGTGCCTGTGGGCTGACCTTGTGCTCCAGTCCAGGCCCCACGCTGGTTTAGTTGTGAAATTCAGCAATGAGTTCAGGAGTGTTAGCAACAGCAAGAATCAGCCACAGCAAACTCCAAGGAACCCATGAAAGAAATACAAAGATTGTTTGTTGCCTTTTAAGGCTCTCAATGCTTTTCACAGGCAATTCAGTACACACTGATAGACTAAATGGCTTGTTTATTTTTCATCTGCAGGTGCAGATGGGTTTATAGGTGGCCAAAAAACACTGACATGTTAGTTTTATCTTCAGAGTTTTTTTTTATTGGGGCGAGCAAGGGAGATATTTGCTGCGTCACTCTGAGCTCCCTCACTGCATGGAGCTGAATCCCTCTTTATACTGTAGTCTCTAAGCTCAGCAGAAAGACAGCAGGGTTTCAAAGAAGACACTTGGTTTGTTTGTTTATCAAGAACTATGTCCTCCAGACATTCCAGTTCTACTGAGCACTTTGACTGCTTCAGGTTCCTTCCTGCCAAAGGTCACAGTTAAATGTGCAATGCAACATGTCACCAGCCCACCATCTATGTAGCAGGCATAGAGGCAGTTTGACCAACACATGATCTCCCCTTTAAAATCACTCTTGCTTTTGTTGGACACGTAGCTTCCTAACAAAACACTGTGGAACTGCTCCTGCAAAAAGGCAATCATACTCTTGTGGTCTCAGCATGGGGAAATTGCAGATTACTGCAGTATTTGCTGTAAACACCCTGGCCCTGTGCTGCAGAACAACTAAAACAGCCAGGACAGGCTCAGGCATCTTATTTAAAGATTTACATGATGGTGTTAATCATGATGGTAGAGTGGCTGCTGCTCCACTCAGCATGCTCACCTTGCCTGGGCTTATGTTCCTCCCCATGTCAGCAGACACATAGAAGTCTTTTCTATTCATAGCAGGGACACTACTGCAAACTCCCAGGTCAGAGGAGGAACACTGAATGCTGTTCCAGAGATCTCTGACACTGCAGCTCACTGGCTGACAATGGGGCAGGTTGTATTGTTAGTTAGGAGAGAAGCTAATGTTATGGTTGGTAAAGGGTAATAATTCATTCTGAGGACTACTGTTATTCTAGATCACCACTGGACTCTGTTCATCGTCCTAGGTTAGAAAGGAAGTACTCAACTCTTGGAACTGAGTTGGAAAAAAAGTAGGGGTCCTGGACAGACGTGGACAAAATCAGAAAAAAAAAAAAAAGAGTTGATGAAGCCACTGCAGCATGTGGACATTGAGTAGTTTTGTGAAGTGGGGTACCCTGGCTGAGCTGGAGAGTGACAAAGCTGAAAAAGAACTGCACAGTGCTGCAAGTCTGATGAGGCTAGGGACAACCATCAAAAAAAAAAAGGAATAGCAGCATCATCTCACTATTGCCAATACAGCCTTTTTTACAAATACAAGTTAATTAACAGATATATATTTTTCCTTTTGAATCTTAAAAAGAAATTTTTAAGATTAAGGAAATTAGTAAACCCAACCTCACGCCCTCTTACTCAAAGTGCAAGCATTCCACTCTAGTGGAAGAGCCATGCCAGGACCAGATTTGGCTACGTGTGTGGTTTTGCGACAGCTTATGAAACAGGCTTTGCATCTCCTCCTCCCAGCTTTCGTGCTTAGCTATAAACTGCCTTATAAAGAGAGCTACTGTTACAAGGCAGGCAAGTGACTGGTTTTTTTCTGAACCTTTACTTTGTCTAATATGTTTCAGATTTTTTAAGTCTCTGCCAAGCTTTTCCATTCCCTTTTCTTTTTTTTTTAAAGACATAAACCAGTCTTATGACTGGAATGGCACAGCCAAGAAAAACAATCTAGGGCTGATTCTTAGCATTACATAACAAGGGATCAGTTTTAGAAAAAAAACTTGGTCCAAAGCAGCAGGTTGAGTGTGGTTTGTGCACCAAAGAATTAGAGCTCTGAAGAGACGAACTAGAGAAACCAAGCAACTGGTGTAGGAGATCTACCTCTTTTCACTGCGGAGTCAATAGTTCATAGCTCTTCTGAGCTGATCATATTTGAAAGCTACAGTGTTTGGTTTAGCTTTATATAAAGACTTCACTAAACGAGTTTCAGTTGTTCTGCACATGGAAAAAAATGTCATTGTTCTAACTAATGGTCACAAAGAACCCAAGGGAAGAAGAGATGAAGGATCACTCTCCCAAGGCTGGCAGACCCCCTGCCATCAACACATCTTGAATTTAATGAAAGTGCTGCATGGAAAAGCTTGCATTTCCACAGTCTAACACTGTGTATTTGGAACACAAACAGGACTCCAGTACCCAGAGAAGCCCATCTGGCATCTTTTACTACCAGAAATTTTTAAAATAAAGGAAGAATTCAGGTATTCAGCATTATATGTCAGGAATGACCTCTTCTGCCTCCTTTCCCCTCTCCAGGCAAATTTCTATCACTTGCTGGTTACTTTCCATTCCAGCTGACCATTATGAAAAGTTGAGGTGCTGTTATTTTAAGTATGCAAACTCTGTTCATTATTGCATGTTAATTAGAATCATTATCCTATCTACAAGCCTATGTGAAACATCTGCAAACGTACCTTCATCTGCTTGACTGTGTATCTCATCGTTCCAAATGGTCCATCTTTCATGAGCTTCTTCCCCACAACTTTAGCTCGGATCACTGTCGTAAGAGAAGAAAAACACAACAAATTATAAACAACTTTACACAACATTTAGGCTAGACCCTCCACTTCAAAAAAGCCACTTAGATAAATTATTCTGTAAAATAAAACAAAACTCCAGGCCAACCTTCCTCTCATTTTATTCTAAATCTCACACACAATGAAAGCATGCAAAATGGGATGCCAAAGAAAGCATTTATTTAGAGGAAATCCAGTTCTGTGTGAAGAATAAGAAAAAGCATTATTTATGTTGAAATCTCACTGAAATCTGCAAAGCAGACTATAGCTGGGACCAAGCCAGGTTAAAACCTTTGCACCAAGCCACTGGGATGAATTTAATGTCTTAACTTTCAACATGTGGAATGACGTTCAACAAGATACTACTTTTAAATTGTTCTTTGGGTGCCCAGTGCACCTTCTGTTTCCCAATAACCAAAACAATACAGTACAGTGCACTCGAATATCCCGTATCTGGGGACTTCACTACAACTGCCACCTTTCAGATACCACAAAACTCCCAACAAATGGCTCCCTTAAACAAATAGCTACCATGCAAAAACAACCATCAAGCCCACAGTGAAAGCTTCCGGGCCAGCCAGAAGCCACCTGGAAGACAAACTAAAGCTGTCCCATCAGACCTTACGTACACTGCACTTCATTTCTTCATGGATACTGAGGGGCAGGGTGTATGCACGTAGCATCTAGCCTGACACACATACCTCCATCATACCACGTATGCACCACAGCAATGCCAGCTGAGCTCAAGCCATCATAGATAAGGTTTTTGAGTTCCCTCAGATGGGTCTAGTGGGTAGTTTACAATCAGTGCTCCTGCTCATCTATTTTTGGGGTATTCCACAAAGAACCCCTACTGTTCCATTGATCCTCTTTTGGAAAAGTTCTGCATTCACCTGCTCATCTCAGCAGAGAAGCAAAGCTTAGTGACAGGGCAGGCATTATTCAGCTAAAGTCTGCTCCCCTAGAACAATTGTATCACATCATACAAGCACCAGAAGTAGCTTAATTTTTACAAGGGCTGCAGAAAATGAGATTGGAGAAGACAAATCCTGGGAAGAATAAGGATCATTGTTAGAAAACCCTGTACCCCAAATGCCACTCAAAAAAACAACAGGACAAAAAAAAATTAAACAAGGAACTCAAAATTCCATCAATCAAGAGAAACATCAAAACTACAAAATAACCATTCAAATCTTACCTAAATCTTATTGATCGAGATTTGCATTACAAGGGCTATGAAAATTATTCCAGTAGAATAATCCAGCGTGCAACATATTCATAACATGACTGACAATGTAGTAGTTTTATATAATCCCCCAGACACCCCTTTTTTGTGGAAAAGGAGATTGATCAGATACTTTTGCATATAGCTTGTATCAGTACACCATTGCAAACAATGCACCTCTGCTGAGTATATGCCCCAATGGTTCCAGACTACTGAAATCCAGCGATGAAAACGGACCACATGGATTGTTCCCTGTAAACTGATGAAGGCCCTGATCGTAACTCCCTGCACAGGACAGAGGTACTGCTTTCACAGCAGTCTTTCACAGTGTTTTATCTGTGTTTTGTTGAATGTATCATATTAATGCAACACAGAAAACAATTCATTAAAAAGCAGGAAGGCATGGAAGGGAGACAAAGAGGTGGAGGTACTCCTTTGCAAGCAGGAAAACCCAGTGAGTTATTATTTGCATTACAGCACTAACTAAAAGCAGCAACAAAGTTCAGGGATCCATTTTGCTGGTATATAGGACATTAAACAAGCACCTTGTTGCTTCTTAGCTCATTTAGGTTTCAAGCAGCTGTAGAAGCCCACTGGAAGAAAGGGGAAAAAGAGGAGGCTAAGTTTTTGTTCACTACCTAGACCAAATTAATGAGGTAAAACATTTGTCCCAGCTTTCTAAATAATCTGAAGAACAGATTTAAAGGAAGAGACAGGTCTGGTTATACACACCAGTTCCTGGAACTTGTTCCATGAGGATGGTGTGAAATTAAGACAAACTCACTCTGCTCTGATTTATATCCTGTGCTTCAGCCAGACTTGTCAAATAAAATTTAAACTAGGTAAGACAGTCCTGCTGGCTTTGATTCAAAGGACCAACAAAACCTTCATTCACTGAGTGTAAAACTTCATTCTTAATTTTTTTTTCAAACTTCTCTTATCCAATGGCAGTAAAAGCCAGTACAATTTTATTGATTCTTCTATTTAACAAGTTGTTTGGACTTTGACTTACTCCCTTCTTCAAAATGTAGTAGCTATACCGAAGCATGTCCTTGAGGACTGCAAATATCTTTAAAGAACTAAGTTCTTCCATTTGTTGCCCCCAACCACCATCACCATCAGGGAAGCTATAAAAACCAGCCTGCCTAAGGGTCAATGAGAAAGAACATGATTTCTTTACGGCTTTGTGAATTCTAGGGCACTTCACTATAGCAAAGAGTCAAAAGTCTTAACTTCACCTGTTGCATATCTGATACACTGAAACTGAAAAACCTGGTGTTTGCCCAACACATCTGAAACCCACAATGAAATTCTGTATCTTACTGACAATGATAAAAAATATACTAAAAGGCAGTATTGCAAAACGCTAGTTTTTCCAAACCAGAACACAGTTAGCATAAAAGACGACAGGCACATTCCCAGTTGCTGACAAAATATCTAAAACCCCATTTTCTCCATGTACTTCACTGCTAGCTTGGCAGCCCTTTAACTTCTAGTTAGAGTAGCACAGCCACTTCAGAGAAAAGCCAACTCTGATTTATGGACTAATCAACAGCTTCACCATAGGACCAAAGATTCAAAACGTGCATCTATGCTAGCACGACTCTGATTTATGGACTAATCAACAGCTTCACCACAGGACCAAAGATTCAAAACGTGCATCTAACAGCATCCAAATTTCAACTAATGCTACCCTTGCAAGGCAGGTGGAACAATCTGTATTTTCATATTATTGTTCCCCAGTGAATTTAGAGAACAACCACTGTCCTAGCAAATTCACCTAGTAAAAACCTTAGTGTGGGCCATCACTTCAAGCCTTCTGTAAAATGGTCAAAGCCCTCTGTATCTCAGAGAGGTTTGCCTTTATCACCCAAATAGTAACTTTTCTAGGTAAGTTCCTTCCTTTACCAAAAAGCTAGGAATGAACAAAGAACCCACCCTGCTTCATTTTTACCATACTAAAGAAAAAGTCAAGCTGTTAGCCAGGGAGCAGAAGATACTCCAACTTAAGTCAACCCACTGTATTTTGTGAGCCTAAATTCCCACCCGCTGAGGATTAGATGCATCTGGGTAACTGGAGAGAAATGCTGGATGGACAGGACTGCTCAAGAGTTTGCTCTTGCATGTGCAGCTTCATCACCCTAAGCCTCCATGCGTGACAGCCACTTGTAAACCTGCCTGGAACAGAGCTCCAAGCTGCTGATCTGCAGCCACATGTTTCCCGGTTCCTGTCTTTGCTCCTTCAAGCCACCGCTCACCAGTTATACAGCTGGACCACTCCTCACACCTAGTCAGAAGATAAAGAAATTGTTCCTAACTGAGCAGGGGCCATGTGTACTTTCCAGAGGAATTTTTCACCCTCTGAAAAGCATCAGAAATTTACAGTATTTCTGCTGCAAATTCAGTCCATGTTACATTAAAGAAGTCAACTGTTTACTTCTGGGGACTCCTGCTGCTTGAGCAGAATGAGGCTGTGACTGCTCCCCTGAACTCCTTCCTTCTCCCTGAAGCTGTATTACAGTCCTGCTATTACTGATGGGAAACTTTATCCCACACAAGTGGTCACCAAAATAGCTGCATATTTTTAAAACACGATTCCTTTGAAGTACTGCCTATGAAAATACTCCAAGATGAATGTTTCTCAGTACTTTGGGGTTTCAGGTTGGGTCACTTTGTGGGACTAGAGCAGTTGACAAGGTCTCATGAGTGATTTGTAATTATTTATGAAAAGTTAAATTAGATGAGGATATAAATCTTGGTAAGATAAGCATGGCAGCCATATCATGATTCAAAGAGGAGAAAACATATGCACAGCTTCTCAACATTTGACATGATTAAAAATGGGAGAGAGCAGAAAGAAAGAAAACTGGATATTTAGTTGATATTCTAAAGTAATATTATTAAGAAAATAAAACCCTGCCGTGTTTGAGGATTCAAGAAAATACATCTAACAATGTATCACAAATTATTAACGTATTTATCTATTTTCCCTTGCCTTTTTTTTTTTATGTAAACTAGCTTAGTGCTTAGGAAAACAGACATGGCTCAGATTTGCCATAGGACTAGTCTAATGCAAGCAGCTAATGGTTTGTATTTCACTGGCATCTCTAGCGTGGTACAAACTGTCTGCATGTGCATGTATACACACAAATACACACAGAAATTACTTGCATCTTTTTCCAAATGTCACCGGATGAGGTCTTATAAAAGGCAAACAAACCAGAATGGGCATAGGAGAAAAAGGCCCTATACGCACTTTTATTTGCCCAAATGCACACATATCTAACTCAAGTACTCCTTAACTTTATGCTTTACTCTGTGGCCATTTTCTCAAGCATTCATAGGAAGAATAGGCCTGAAGGTAAGATAGGAAGCAGAAGAGGACACTAGCTTTACAGCTGAAATAGCAGAGGGCATTCTTTTCACAAGGCAAGGAGTAGACAAGCAGACAATGACCGATATGAGGGAAGTGGACATGTGAGATTAAGACAAGCATTTGCCAAGCTGAGGAAACAACATGGTGAAAAGACTTGTAATTACCAAGTCATTTCATCCAGGCGCACACTAGCTACTACATGAGTAGTAGCTCTTTTTCCCAACTGAAAAGCAAAGGCATCCACTGTCCTAGTTCGATCAAACCTGTGTCCTTTATGGGGGCCAGCCACTAGATGGTGACACTGTCACAAAGCTCACCTTGTGTTAACGAGAGGGCAGTGGTACATGCACAACCTAACACCACCAATCCCACTTGCATGCCCAACTGCACCACAAGAACCAGATGCTTTCATGCAAGTGGGCTGGTTGTCATCCATAAACAGTACTTTAAGTGGAGGCACACACCCTTTAGAAACCAGGATTTGTTCCAAACCCTTTTCCCTTGTGAGCAATTATCATGAACAGCTCAGGAGAGTAACAAATGCTACACTTCTCATTATTGTTTCAAGGATTTATTTTTTTGGTGTGCAATATGAGTATGTTTAAGTGAGAGGTTTGGCTGAGATGCATGGTCACTGCATTTAAGGAAGTGAAGGATGTGGAGGATTCATACTGTTTACTAATGGAGGCACAGGGGACATGTTATTCTCTCAGTCCATTCTCTGACATCCAAATAGTGGCAAAATAAAATATATGGGGATCACCAACATGACCAGAAGGCTGAAGAAAGGCTCCCTCTATCCTGAGGCCACTGACCTCACCAGGAACTGGAGAGCAAAAACAACCTCCAACAGAACGGTGCACTCAGAAATGCTGCCTTAACACCAGACACAGGACATGCCAAGGAGGATGGTTGCCATTTTGTTCATTCAAAGACTATGCAAGGGCTCACTTCCAAGAGCAATTTACTGAGAACTTTCTACCAACATTACTAGCAGCTCTTTCATTCAGCCTGCCTCAGAAAAACTCATTACTGTGCTGGTACATGATGGAGGGCTCACATGAAGCAGGGCAAAGGCAGGTGGTGTGTTTAAGACTCCTGAGCATGCCTAGCACACTACTGAGGTCTTGGTTTATTCTGGCATTTATGGAAGTGTCTTCTAACCAGGTCAAGGCAAGATACTTTTACACAGAGATTTTTCTAGTGTTGGTGCTGATGGTGCTGCTAAAAAGATGGAATTGCTGTTGTCTGTCTTGCTCACCCTCCCTCATGAGCTGCATTCCTTTTCCCATCCCCCTGGCTGATCTGTTAGTAATTATCACCAACACTCTTGGCCTCCCTAATAACAGAGGACCATAACTACAAGCGGATTGTGTCGTTTGGACTGGAAGTCTGGCCCAGCTATATGCAGCCTCCTGGGAAGCTCCATTAAATCACCTGGTGGCTGTAGGCTCGTATGAGAAGCGTGTGGGGCCTGCTTTGGAAGGGGGGACAAGAAAGCAGCCTCTCACCCATTCCTCCACTTCCACGGCAAAGTAGAACAGAGAGGGAAGTGCTGATGACAGCAGGGGAATCATGAAGAGGGAAAAAACCCAGATATAAGTCTCCAGTCTGTTTGATGATCTGTCTGTACTGAAAGTCACTTCCTCCTACACAACCAAAATAGAACTCTTACAAATTAGAGTTTTGAATTTGAAGGCTTCTTGCAAAGCATGAGAAGGATGAAAAAATACAGTAGAGGAGCTTTCTCTTGCCTCGTTCCATCATGACCTCCAGCCAAAGCCACAAGAGCAAAGCAAACATCTTTTGCTTTGTCTTGGAAGAAGCCAAATCCAGCTGTGCTGCTACACAACATTACCAGAGAACCTCATCAAGAAAGCAAGAAAAGGTAGTGAAGAGGTTCGCTGCTGGCTGCCTTCCTGTCATACCCCTCATCAACAAACTCGCTCGCATTACTGGCAGTCCAAATCTTGACCTCTTGCCTTTTCAGAGCACTCTGAGGAACACTGACTGAGAAAGAGCACCACCTTCTTGACACCAATCACCTCTACCACTCAGACAGTTGCCACATAAATATCACATGTGAAAGGACTTGTGCTTACTTCAGCAAGCGTGTTGGAACATTCTGACTAATAATAAAAGTCTAAATAAAAACAGGAAAGCAAGATACCCAGATAACTTTCCTTCCCATTTTCTAACCAGAACCATGACATTTACTTTTGACCTTTGTCTTACAGATCCAAAAAACTTTCCCTGTCTGTGGCATAGCAAGGATGTTTGAAGGCCACCCAAAAAAGTGGAAGGCAATTAAATGGCTTCACCCAGGCGCAAGCTCCATCTAAAACAACTGATCACAATTGCAGTTTCTAAATATTAACCCGGTTTCCCATCCCTGCAGATTTCATTGCCACTGAGAGTCTGTTCGCACAACACACTGTACTGCTTGATTTCCAGCACCGCAAAATAAGGAGTGATACGACTCTTTCATACGAGACTACGATTGCATCAGAACTCCCATCACATCAAAAAGTATAAACTGCTCTAGAAGGGTTTTACTTGGGAGAGAGTTAATCCTCCCAACAAGACCACAAATAAAAGACACAAGGTTACATGAAACAAGCACAACTTGGTTTGTGCTTGGCATTTCACCTGTAGCTTACTCACTGGATACAATTTTTCCGATGGCAGCAGTAGCAAGCATTTTTCTTCCTCCCCATATGGCATACCTCACCCTATGGAAGCCCAAGCTCCCTTTGAAATACATTGGAATTGGAGAGAAAGAAGAGGTCTCTGTTAGATAAGAAACTGCAAATTCTCTTCTAGATGTTTCGTTCAGGTTCCTATATGCAATTTGGTTGAAGACTCTTCAGGTGCCTGGCTCTGCCCCTGCATCTAACTCCTGATGTTAGCTCCCTTGTTTTCCCATCATACACAGTCTGTTTGGAGGATGGAGGAAAGACAGAAAGGAGGAGGAAGAAAGGAGGGATCTAAAATGCATTTTTATCCATTTACAAGTAGAATCTTTTAGATCCCTGTGTAGATACTCGTGCCAAGGAGAGACTAGCTTCAGGAAATACCCTGTGATAAACAGAGAAGCTAAAGGAAGACAAAAAGAAAAAGAAGTCTGTTGTTACTAGCTATTACACCTACTAAACTCGGGGAAGCCAGGTGGGCCCAAGAGATTAGCTAGAACAGGCACAGAGTGTAGCTAGTTGAGTCACAAGAGTTACACACATTGCTAAGTTGGTCTCACAGCTTGCGTCAACAAAACATTCTAGGTTTGCTACCGATGTAAGCAGAGACACTGCAGGCTACATAATGAGCATGCCTACAGCTTTGAGAAACCTCTGGCAAAATAAAAAGAGAAACCCATGTCATTCCGGCCAACTAGCCATTTCTCTGTCTCCTTTCTGGCAGGCTTTTTTTTAACTTTCCACCTAAATATTTTTTAACTAGCTACTGAAAGCTGGTTTCAGGCTAGAGGCAAAAGGCAGCAGGCAAGTATCAGAGCAAAGGAAGGAAAAGTGGTGCAAGTGGAGGGAGGGGGAGTGCCTCACGAACAGAGAGCAGCAGAGAGGCACCTTGCACCTCTCTCCTAGGGGTGTTTTCAGCAGAGTGCATTCTGCCTCATTTTGTGCCACTGACAACTGCCAAAGAAAGAACTGCTTTCAGCCAAGGTTAGCAGTGTTGGAAAGATGGTTGTCAAAACCAACACACAAAAGCACTTCCAAAGCCAGCTTACAACAGTGGATAAAAATAACAAGCATATGACTCAAAGCTGGTCAAGCAATGCTCAGCTCAAAACACCTTTTCTATTTTCTTTTGGTCTACGTAAGATTTGTGCAACAGGATTTAACTCAGTCCTTGCTTCCAGATCAACTACTTCTAGACACAGTACATGCAGGACGAGGGGAAGACAGACTGAGACAGACAAGACTCTGGTTTCTCATAGCTCTTTGGAATTGTTCAAAGGAGCCACAGGTCTAAGTGTTCCACTCAGAGACTATAGCAGAGCTGAAGTGAGACCAATTAGGGGCAAATGGAAACCATATGCGATTTTAATGAAACAAGGAGCTGGTGCACATGGCTTACTGCTGCAGGAGCGTTTACTGCGTGAAAGGAATGTGCATCTGGCATTGATCGTTTCCCAACCCTTCAAGAGAGCAGTAACATAGAAAGCAAACTGGAGCATAAGATGAGAGATGAATTGCCTAAAGAAGTACAGTTAGGGGAGCAGCCTCTGCAAGGGCAAAACATGTCCTTTGCCTATGATTTAGTGATACAGTCACGAGTGAGGCTGATCTTCCATTTCCACAGATCATGATGATAAACTACAAGAACAAGCACTATAGTGACTAAAATGGACCAAGTGGTATTTTAAAGAACCTACTACAATCACAGAAATCCCATTCTGGTTCACATGGGGCAGACTTTTACTCCCTTGAGGTCACTGCTTAAAGAATAAGGTACTGCTGATCCTAAGCAAGGGTACTATGCAGTCCTCAAATGCCATGTCTGTTGCTGCAAGTATTCAGATGACATTGTTTTTACGTGTCCATCAAAATGGGTACACAGTCAGGGAATCTGAGGATGAAGAGCCAGTGCAGACCACCCTTCTGTTCCATTTTTTCTTTTTGACTGCAAATTTCCCAGGAAGTTTCAGTTCTGCTGAGGAAGAAAAGTCTTTAGCCTGCAAAGCTGTAGATAAGTTGCTCACTGGGATATGGTCATTCCTTCTGCAAGCTGTTGTGTTGCAGCTTGATATCTGGTTCTCAGGACAAACCCACTATCTTCTCCAAGCAGCCAAGAGACTGCTCACATACATCACAAGAGGAAGGGGGGAAAGATGCTCTGAGCCAGTACTCAACCATATATACAGTGAACATCCGGGGCTTGAACCTGGTAATGCTACTTTGCATTTCATGTAATAGTGAGACATCTGCAAAGCCAGATACATAGAACTGGCATGTCTTCGCTCCTTAGTGCTAGATTTCCTCTGTGGGATATCCAGAGTTAACAAGCGTAATAAATTCATTACTGTATTTTTCAAGGAGGCAATAGAAAATTCTTGACCCAAATCTGCCTATTTATTACTCTTCCTTAACCTACCGTGCAATACATGAATGCACTGGGAGCTCACATCCAAGTGGTCCAACAGCAGGAGGAGGAGGAAGAGGGAGAGTCCTGCTAAAAAGAACATCTGAAAGCAGTTTTCTTCTGCGCATTAAAAACAGGGCAGCTCTGACAGCGCATGTAAACCTTTCAAAACAGGGAGTATCAGAAGTCACAGGCCTGGACACTCCCTGCTTCGGCAACTTACTTCAGAGGGCTCTCCTTGCTTCAGCACCTCGCCCAGCTGGGACGGGTGCCAGCATTCTGCAAGGAGGCTGCACTCCACTGATCACATGGTTTACACTCAATTTTGCACGTAGGAGCTAGAGAGGAAGAACCGTTTGGGAACATGTATAGATTTCAACGGTACTGGGTGGGCCTGCAAATTCCTTCCTGCATTAGAAAACTTGCATTAAACTGATAGGCTAAGCAGCTGTCCACGCCAAAGAGGTATACATATTTAACCAGGTCAGGCCTGTATGTGCTGCTCTGCTGTTCCTATTTGCACTGGACCTGACAAGACCTCGTATTAGGCCTGCCTGACCCTGGAATTGAACCCACGTTCAAACAGTTTCTCCTGTGAGAAGCCAGCACCTTTGCCCACCATTCTTGAGCCATTATAAATTGCTCAGAAGCTGACAGCTTCTGCAGACTGTTCACATACACTGTACATGTCCATGACACAGTTCTGGTTTACCATAATGCTTAAGGAATTTCGTAATTGCCCATTTTATTAACATCTATTATGTAACCACAGTCATTAATACCATGTAGCCAACCTTAGCTACATGAAGAATTTTACACTGGAGTCTGAGCACCTGTAAAGATTTAGGTGTAGCACTCAGATCCTGATTCAGTGTCCATTAAAGCAAGTGGAAAACCTCCCTGAGCCCTAAATCAGCCTCATGTACCACAGTTCCCTGTCAGACTACAGGTTGAGGTCAGGACAATACGAGGGCAAACCTCACACTGATCAATTTGTCCACCTGTCAAGAACTTCCCAAGATCCCACGTCGTCCCCTGTCATAACTGTGTTCCAAGACATCATCCTTCATTTTAGGCCTTCAAAGGGATATTGAAGGCCAGAAGAACTCAATGTTGATTTGTTGTGGGAGTAAGGTTAAAAAAAAAAAAAAAAAAAAAA